CTCCTTGCAGTCATGTCAGCCACATGACCTTTGGCTTAGAAATGGAGATAAGCACCAACCCCCAGAGTCGGACACAATTGGACTTAATGTCAGGGGAAAACCTTTACCTTTACCTATCCATGATTATATATGGTATATCACAACCTTTTGTGGACCAGATCCCACTTCATCGGGTGCATAAAGTTAGTTGTAATCCACAAAAGTTTATGCCATAATAGTTTTGTTGATCTTTAAGGGGCTACAGTGAACAATTCAGAATGAGAACTAGAATGACAAATATGACTATCATCAAGTAAAAGTTGAATGGCCATGTGAAAAGTTGCACAGTTATAAGAGGGTTAAGCATAGCTTGAAAATATCCGGAGAAAAAGTTCTTAAACTCACTGCTTGCCATTTTATATCAGGGACAAAATTTTACTTCACCATTGTATATAATGAGTTTTTAACATCCATAAATTTTGGTATTCACAAAGGTCCTAGAGCGAAGCCACAGTGGATATCAAGGGCCCTCTGTATGTTTTTGTCTTCTTGGTAGCATCATTATTTCTGAATTGCTTGTGGGCACCCATTTTAAAATCATCATCATCACTACCACCACCACCACCACCATATAGAAGAATTGAAATCATATGTAAAGATTTCAGTTGTTCTGAGGTACATAAACTTGTTAGTAAGCAGACCAGGAAAAAACCCTGGATTCCTCAGGAATCACTCACCCAAGTGAAGTAGGCTGACCATCGGAGCAAAGAAGGAAAGTTCTCTCCCCTCTATCTGAGCCATTCTCCAAGCTGTTCCAGGCCTCCCTCTTTCATCCACTTGTGAAACAAAGCCACCAACGTGCTCTGAGTACAATTACTTAGCTGGTCAATCCCCAGTCACTCATGTGTTGCATGGATCAGCTGCTGGCAAACAGCTGGAAGGACTACTCCAAAATACTATTTACTTGGGCCCAATGCTACTCTCAGCAACCCTGCTCACAAGATCTAGTAACTCTTTCAGTTTGATGCCACAATCACAGCACAGCTTGGAAAACTTACCATAATTGTTTAAACTACAGTTTCTAGGGCACCCATCAGGCCATCTCAGCCAGTGGCTGGGAAATTTAGGAAGCTATATTGTAAATCAAAAGTAGAATATACTCAATGTCTCAGAGCATGCACTGAAACTGTGTGGCAGGTGGACACTGGAGTTTTCAATTAAATTTACTAGATAGTGTTCCTTTGCAGTCTATGAGAGGGATCAAGATGGTTCAATGGTATTTCAAAGTATAATATAAGGTCATGCAGCCAGGATTATCTAATGGTTCTTTCTTCTTTGAGTCATTCAGTGGAATTGTTTGCAAGTTTAAAAAAACCGGCAGTTTTATACAATACCAGGAATTATAAAAGGGAAAAGGCCACCAAGAATCTGTAGCACAAGGGAGCAATTTGCATATTCTACCTGGCCCTTCCCTGTGCTGTCTTGAAAATAAATAAAAGAAGCTTTCTTCATTGTGCTTATATGAGGCTCTTTCACTCTGCCTGAGGCTGCTTTTGACCTAAGTTGCTTCTTAACAAAATATGTGTTTTGCATAAGAGAAAATAAGGGCTTTCCAGTACTTAATGTAAGCCTGCTTCCTACTCTGAGCTGTAGAATTGTTCTGTAAGAAAAGGATGATGTGCAACTATTCAAGATTTGTGACTTATATTTTCTTTTTTGAAAGCCACTTTATTCAGATGACAGCTTTATGGACAGGAGAAGATTGTCAAATGTAGGCCCTATCATCTTGCAGGATGCAGTTGACAGAATTTTGAGCTCTTGTTTTATAACCATTTTATCTTCACAAATGCCATCTTCTGCATGTTTCAGAAATAGGAACCTCGGGTCTTTTTGGAGGTTGGAGGTTAAGCAGCAGCATTTCATGAGAAATTTCATTCAGTACACCCAAGACCTGCAAGCCAAACAACTTTACATAAATGCTTGCTTGGCCATGCTGATAGATGTGGGAGATAGTGGCTTAGAGTAAAACGCCAAAAACAACATAGGTCGAAATGTTCTCACACTGCATGCTACTACATCCCATATTGAGAGTTATGCCATATTTGTCCGTATGAATGGTGCATGCCTAAATATTCTAAAGGCATCAGATGTGGACTGATCTTGACAACCATGGAGAGTCAGCCCTGGTTGGTACTTGCCTAGCAGACTACCTGGTATATAACACATGGTGCCCCCAGAGGTGCAGTGGGTTAAACCCTTGTGCCGACAGGACTCAAGACCAATGGGTCGTAGGCTCAAATCAGGGGAGAGCTACCTCTATCAGCTCCAGCTTTCCACGCAGGGACATGAGAGAAGCCTCCCACAAGGATGGTAAAACATCAAAACATCCAGGCATCCCCTGGGCAATGTCCTTGCAGACAGCCAGTTCTCCCACATTAGAAGTGACTTGCAGTTTCTCAAGTCACTCCTGACATGAAAAAGGCTATATTTCATAGGAATTTCAGTGGAATATAGTGATTTGCAATCCCCCTTCTCTGAATGATTTTCTATACCAGTGTTCCTCAACTTGGGGATTGGGACCCCTGAGGGGGGTCATGAGGGGGTGTCAGAGGGATCACCAAAGACCAGCAGAAAACACAACATTTTCTGTTGGCTATGGGGGTCCTGTGTGGGAAGTTTGGCCCAATTCTCTCATTGGTGGGGTTCAGAATGTGGGTGAACTATAAATTCTAGCAAGTACAACTCCCAAATGTCAAGGTCTATTTTCCTCAAATTCTACCAGTGTTCACATTTGGGCTTACTGAGTATTTGTGCCAAGTTTGGACTAGATCCATCATTGTCCGAGTCCACAGGGCTCTCTCCAACTACAACTCCAAAACTCAAGGTCAATACCCACCAAATCCTTCCAGTATTTTCTGTTGGTCATGGGAGTTCTGTGTGCCAAGTTTGGTTCAATTCCATTGTTGGTGGAGTTCAGAATGTTCTTTGGTTGTATGTTAACTATAAATCCCAGCAATTACAACTCCCAAATGACAAAATCAATCCCCAACCCCACCAGTATTCAAATTTGGGCATATGGGGTATGTGTGCCAAATTTGGTCCAGTGAATGAAAATACATCCTGCATATCAGATATTTACATGACAATTAATAACAGTAGCAAAATTACAGTTATGAAATAGCAACAAATAATAATTGTATGGTTGGGGGTCACCACAACATGAGGAACTGTATTAAGGGGTCGCAGCATTGGAAAGGTCGAGAACTACTGTTCTATACAGAAAAAATATTCTGCTCACTTTGGAATACTGGATATGATGAGAATACTGCAGAGGAATAATTACTTTCTCCTGCAATAGGGGGAAAACCACCACAACAATTTGTAACCTTATAGGAGGATAACTAAAAGAAAAATGTGCAAAAAAACCCTGCCATTGTGTTAGTCCCTTTGTGTCTGGTAGAGTCTGGAAATGTTGCTAACATCACCCAAATCCCATCTTTCACTTTTGAGAATACTGTATTTCTAGTATGAGCAAAAGGGGCAATCTGGAAAAGAAATGTGTAGATCTTTGTTCATGTGAGCAATAAGCATTCATCTGGATAGAGATAATCAGTTGCCCGAAGCAGTATAGCTGGCAACTTTTTGCACAACTGCACTAACTGCTGTAATTTTAATATAATTGAGGAGCGAGTATTAAATAAGTCATGCATACTTATCTGATGATATGCGCACATATTGGATGTGGTTTTTTTCCTGTAAGGAATTTGCATCAAGGAGAATTCAAACAGAAAGAAAATTCCATTACAAGTTGTTTGTTGTTATTATTGTGTGCCTTTAAGTCATTTCCAAATTATGGCAACTGTAAGATGACTCTATCATGGGTTTTTCTTGGCAAGATTCATTCAGAAGGGAATTCTGCCTTTGCCTTCCTCTGAGATTGATACAGCGTGTTGTGTCTGAGGTCATCCATTGAGTTTGCATGTCCATGCAGGAATTTGAACTGTGGTGTCCAGAGTCATAGTCCAATGCTTAAGTCATTACACCACACTGGTTTCCTATACGTTGTTAGATTACTTTAAAAAGCAAGCTAAAAAAATAAGGAATGATGTTAAGAAGAAATATTGTGTTAGTATTCTTGGTCTTAACTGAATTGAGTCCCCTCCGGGGTGAGAAAGGTGGGGTAAGAAATGTCATAAATAAATAATAATACATCACTCATTAGTAAATGATATTACCATGTCTCCATTTCTAAGCAGTCTAAGGGCCCATCTATGAGCCATATTCGCTGGAGTGAATGAGAATTGCATTATGGTATTCACATGATGCATATGACCTTCTTGGCCCCAGTGAGGGATAAAACTTTTAAACATGTGTTTGCCCTGAATTACGAAATGTTGAGGAGTCCTCTGGAACAGCTTTAAACTTTGGTATGGTTCCCACAGGCCAGTGCAGTGCTCTGTGGCAGGGGAAAATGGGGTGGCACTTAACTATTCAATTTTTGTCAAAATTACAGAGCGTTCCTCAACATTTCCCAATGCAGTGGCAGCAATGGATCTCCAAAGAGCTCCAAGCAATAGCCAGGTCTGAAGGTCAGCAATGGCCAGGAGCTCTTTGGAGCTCTGTCGCCACGGCTATGGTAACAAACAAACAAACAAAAATCCAAACACAATACAGATAAGGATGGCTGGGTTTGACCCAACTGGATTGTCTAAACCCATCCCACTGCTACTATGGAATGGAAGCAGCAACGTATCTGCCCTTGGGGCAAATATGACGCATTGCCACTCTGAACCAGCCCCACATTTAGTCATCTGTATAAATGGGTACTATTTTTTTTCCATTTTGATGATAGTAATTTTCAGTCTGTTTTCTCTTTTACATTTCCCCCCTTAAGTTTGAACTAACTCTCTATTTAAATAAATAAAATAAATCTCTGCCATTCACTGCATAAAAGAGATTCAATTTGTAATCCATTGAGAAAAAATATTTCTTTTGCTGCATTATCACTTTCTTTGTGTTAGTTCCCCCAGTATTGAAGAGTTGTGCAGAATTCATAGAGACCCATGGAATTGTCGATGGAATCTACCGACTTTCTGGAGTGACATCCAACATCCAAAAACTAAGGTAAAGAAAATATGTCAAAACAAATGGAAGAGAATTCCGATGTTGGGGTGGATTGTGTAGTGCATGAATGTATGCACACAGTGTCATTTGTTGTTGCTTGAAAAGATAACCATCCCACTGTACCCCCTGAGAGCAAACTCAGCAGCCACCTTTATGTTCTTTAGGTAAGATTTCATAACAAAAAAAAATGATTTCAACATGGTAAAGTGTTTTTAGTGAGGATTAATTATGTGCATTAAAATGGTATGTGATTACTAGTGTTGCATTTGAACTTTAAGAAGGCTCCCCTGTTCAGATAAACTCCAAATCATATTTAAAATACAGGTTTTAGTAAATGCTGTATTCTCCACACAAAAATGTTTCAATATTAATTTCTTTATTTTCAGTACATACTCAGTGTTTCCATCTATAGCACATATCAAGGAAGGGCTGCTCTGAGGAATGAGATCAATCTTTTCTTCTATGTCTCCCCTGTGGACACATAGATGTATTCGGACAAACCAGAGTATTTTGGACAGACTATGATATGATGTTTTCGGACACACCATAAATTATATTGCATCTCTTTTAGAAACTGTTTTGGGCCTTTCCCCAACTTTGTAGGTTTGGGAGAGAGAGAGTAAGGCTTTGGAGATTCAAAGACACAAATTGCGCAATTTGCAACCAGTTTAGGATTGTTTGAGCCAGCCTTCAGGATAGAAAATTGTCTAAAAAGCAGCAAACCTTAAAAAAGCCTTGAGTTAAAAAGGCTTTAGTAGTGGCCAAAATGGAACCTGAAGGTTGCATATGAACCACGGTCCCCACTTTCCCAACACTTTGTGTATATGCATCATGCCACGAGAGTAAATCCTGGAAAAAAAATGTTCCACTCCTGGTTTTATTGCTTGACAATTTCAGCTTTCAGAAAGTTGCAAAATTGTGCCCACCAGCTCAGTTGAGGCTTATAGCAGAATTCCTTAATTTTAATGACACTGAAAACAAGTAAAGAAATATATGCAGAATCCACAGAGCCCTCAAGGAAAAGGTAGGTTTCCATGGTGATCCTTGGTACTGAGCAAGTTCCCTTCTATTGAGGCAATAAACTCTCAAGTCTTTGCTACCCAGTGAGGACACTGTTTTCCCCTTTGTGGACTATTTTCATTCTGTACATTAATAACACGTCTCTTGTTCCAGGCAAGAATTTGGTTCAGACTCATGCCCTGATTTGACACGGGAAGTTTACCTGCAGGACATTCACTGTGTGGGGTCACTCTGCAAGCTCTACTTCAGGGAGCTGCCTAACCCTCTCCTCACTTATGAACTTTACAAGAAATTCACGGTGAGATGTTTTCTGCCTTCTTTCCAGCCTGGCTAGGGTCATTGTGATTTTAGGCTCACTCCACAAGTGTATATGTGTAGAAGAAAAAACACAGCAAGGGAGTATTGGGATGTGGTACATGTGGAAAGGAACATCCATAATTTTGGCATGTTCTTTCAGTCCTTGTTTGCTCACATTGCTTCATTTTTTAGATCTGTCTCCACATCAGTCTTTATAGTCAACTCTCCACATTTGTGGGTTTGACTATTATGAATCTGAATAGGTGTCGATTTGATTGAAACATTTCTCTAGGAATCTCTAGAGTCATGTTGCACAGCTTAGGATTACTAGAAAAAACACATCTCTAGGAATCTGTAGGTCATCGAGTGCAATTTATAAAGAGGAGAGGATGACATTATGTCCTGCATTAGGCTCAGGAAAAGCACTCTGCTACAAGCTCTCCTAGCTTGTATGTTCTCCCTTGTTAATAAGCACATTCTGATTTTGCTTGGCCACATTCATCCCTATTTTCATCTATGAAATCTTGAAGGGCATTTATCTGCTTTTATAGAAGAAGTTGCACTCTAAGCTCCATATCAAAGTTGTGACAGTTTCTCTGGGCATTATTTTTATGTTTACCAGAAATGATTGCACATCAAGTTCTGCCTTTGAAGGCCTTTATTGAACCAGATTAAAGGCAGACGAGTCTCAAAGAGATGACAATTCAAATAGGTTTCAGCCAGCATTGCAAAGTATTGTCAATGGAAACTGGAGTACCAAACATCTGGATGGCCTCAAATTGTTATCCCAACTAAGCGATTAGTCTTCATCTGGTACGCGGGCAGTCAGACTGTGATAACACCAGTGTCTGGCAAAGCTACTAGAACCTGGAACAGGTCAGGATGGTTAGTTTCTAGTATTTGTAGTTCAAAAAAGTGACTTCAGACTCTGAAACTGCTGTTATCTATCGTAAATTATACAATTACTTAAGAAGCTGGCTTAATTTGTACTCTTTGATTGATGGTAGTTTCCTGATTGTGTGGAGGACTATTGGAAAATGGTAGGAAGCTGAAATCATTCTGACAAAGCATTACAGGCAGTCCCCAAGTTACAAACAAGATAAGTTCTGTAGGTTTGTTCTTAAGTTGAATTTGTATGTAAGTCATAACAGGTACATTTTTAAATGTACCTCCAGCCTTATATTATTATTATTATTATTATTATTATTATTATTATTATTATTATTATTCCCATCTGTTTTTAACAACAGGCTCTGGTTGATTTGTCATTTTCATTTGCCGTTTCAGCCATAACGGCATGGGCACCATGATGGTTTCACTTTCATTTGGCAACCACGTGGCGTGCAGAGGAGCCCTGTTGTCTGAGCCAATCACAATTTTCCAGTGGCATCCTAGCTGGGTGTGTGGGAGAGGTTGCTTATTTCAGTGCTCTGCTTTGCTGTTGCCTAGCTGTTCATTAGTTGTATCTCTTTCATTTGGACTGCTTTTTGCCTTGCTTTTTGCTTCAATACTTAACTGGGAGACATTTGTAAGTCAAATGTTTGTAACTTGGGGACAGCCTGTACTTGCAATTTATTTTCCAAATGTTAAAAATTACACAGAAGTGAACCAAGTAAACTGGTACAAGTTCAGTTATTACTGCAATACTGTAAGAAATGCATAAATAGAAATGCCAGATATTTTGCGTTGATAAAAATTTAGGCACATGCAATTGGACTAGGGGGAGTGGATTTCTCTGCCCTCTTCTCCACATCACAGTTCATCTCCTAGTCTCTTTCAAGTCATCAACAGACTGATAGGAAACCTTGCTGAATATTGTAGGTTGAATTGTGCTGTCAGGGGAGGAGATGTATTTTCAAATCTGAATTTGACCTGTCGTCTTCAATGTCATTCAGTTGTAAGAGTTTGTGATATTTCCATTCTAAACTACTTTCTGAATGCAACAGGAGTATGTATTATATTTATCTTCTTAACAAATTGTTCATAATGCTCATATCAGTGGCATCTTATTATAATTTTAGCAGCAGCTGTTTCCATTGCCACTTAATCCAGTGCTAAGTGAGTAAATGCATCATGTTTCTGGTGTCAGAGCTATATCCCCCATCCAATTCTATGATGAACTTAATGAATCAAGGTGCATAGATGTGGAAAATCAGGTTCTAAAGGATCGTGTCATGAATGCAGAGAAAGAGTGTAGGTGGAAACTGTCCAAGCAGAAATCTCCAAACAACTTTGGCATGATAACTTCATTCTGAAAGGAGAAAAATATGTACAGAGTACATATGTCTGTATCTCTGATGCTATGAGTGAATTTTAGGAGCTATAGCAATGACCACATCTTCTCTTGGTGACATGACTGTATTAACAGATGCCATAATACCTATAAATGTGAACCAGCAGTATAATGTCAACCAAAGTTAACTAGACAGGACAATATATTTGTTTGGCCATAGTGTAAAAAATCTCAATGTTTTTCAGATATTTTCTCAGTCAACAATTAAGTTAAGCGAGTCTGACTTCTGACTTCCTACAGTTTGAATTCATTAAGTAGAATCTAGCTGGAGTCACAGCTAAAACTATCCGTTGAGCATAGATACTTCTTTCCTTCTTCTGCTTAGGAAGAGTCTTTATCAATGAGATCAACGTTCTTATGATGTCATAACATACTCAGTGATTTTCCCAGGTTGTCATACTCCCCCCCCCAACCACAGGAGGTTCAGTTATGGCCTCATCACACAGATGCCGAAAAAGCTCACCTCACTTTACTGTTGGGCATGGGGAAGCTGCTGCCCCCTCGCCCCACATCGCTCGGCTCCTGCAGCTTTTGATCACATGGTGGGAAGTGTGTGCATGTGGAGCGTGTGGCTTTCCCCCATTAAATAAATGGCAACACAGGAAAGCTCAGGTGTCGTCACAGCGGTACGCCAGTACCACCCTCCTTCACCCACGGAGCCAGCACAATGTCATCTGATGGTAGCCGGCCAGCTCCATAGATGACTGGGGCTAGATCAATGCATGCCACCGATTTTAGCCCTGTGTGACAAAGTCTTTGGTCCCATCTCTATTCTTTTTCTGCCAGTGTGCAAAGGAAGGCCTTTCATTCATAAATCAAATGACAGAAGTTTGTTTTCAGTATGGAGTGATGTGCTTTTTTGTAAAAAATAAAATGTTAGCTAAAGTTTTATTAAAATTGTTGCAAAACATTTAGGGTCTTGTGTCTTGGAAAAAACAGAGTATAAATCAAACAAACAAAGAAATAAAGGTTTTTCTTTTCATAGGTACACGATAATATCTTTCTTGAGTGATCCTATGCTCTTTGTGGGGCAAATCCATGTATCAGTACTGATGCAGTCAACAGAGTGTGTAAGCTTTTCCTATAGCATACCACTCTAGTTTCGTCTGTTCTCTCTGCTGTTGCTGCTTGGTCAACCCAGCTGTTAAGTTTCTTTGCAATATTAGTTTCCATTATTCTACAATATATTAAGTACTGTACATATTGTGGATGGGAAATTAAGGTTCATGATGTTCCCCCTCACCCGATTACTGCTATGGTCATGTCCCCTTGAGTTCGGTAAGTTTGTTCCTGATGTATACCTGCCTCCTTTGGTGCATGTGGTTTCTCCAACTGCTACTTTGCCAGTGTTTTACATTCTACTTGTAAAATGGGATTAATCATAAAGACGTTACCCCATGGTGTTCTTATAGGAAGAATATGGATTGGTAAGCACTAGAAATTATGAATCTCCTGGGTTGTATGTGGGAGGAAGAATGCACAACCTCTGTCAAACTGGATAATTACATTCCTAAGGCACTCATTACTGTTAAGTATTTACAGTCTTAACCCCATACAAATTGCACTACCTATATACAGAGACTTAATTATGGTGCTCAATATTTAACACAGCATACGTCTCAACATACTTTACAAGAGAGCTCATTGAAAATGCAGGTCATTATTACCATTTTTGCTGTGATCATAAAAGTATGCATTTTTAAATGTTTATCTTCTGATCCATTTGCATCTCCTCATTTTAGTAATGTGTTTTTTTAATGAAAGGTGCCAGTGTGTGAGTTGGAGTTTTTTTGTTTTGTTTTGTTTTTTGCAAATCATAGCCTGTTTTGGGACAGGTTTTCCATTAATAGGAAGAGTTCAGGGTGAAGGTCAATTAAGCAACCACCATTTTCATCCATTTTATTAGCATTAGACTGAATGAATCATCGGTTTGCCTTAGTACAACTAAAGTTCCTCACTACTACACCAGAAAGGAAGTGCTGGAAATAAATTCATTATCAACCAAAGTATCTGCTCACAGAGAATGTGGGTAGAGTAGCTATGAGTCATTATATGCCTGGCCTCAATGCAGGGAAGTGGCAAAATTACATACCCTCAGGTGTGTCTGTATGAATATTTGGGTTGGGTTCAAATTTGGCACACACAAATGGTTGGTTAGAACAGTCTTTCCCATCCCTTTGTTCCCTTAGGCTTAGGAAATCCCACACCAAGGGTTGGAAAATAATGCTATATGATACGGGGACAGAAAGGTGGGAAATATGCCAAAATTCAGCTGAGGAACTTTCCTTGAATTATATTAAGTTCACAGCAGGTTATTTTGTTTGAGTAATCCCCCAGTATCACAGCCTTCTTTTTTCAACAGGGTCCCCAACTCTCTGTGTAGCATTTCAGGGGTCTGGAAGGTTGCTCTGGGGAGACAGGACACACGCAAGTGAATCCTGCTGATTCACTTGCATGTGTGAATGCACCGCCCATCAGGAAGTACCAAATCAAGCATGATATAAAGTATATCTTAGATTTTAATGTGGATTTTCTTTATAATGCAGCTTGCATCTGCTGGGGCTGGTAGATAGTGATCATAATTTCATTATGTGTGGGGCAAAACCCTTATTCGAAGTCTGCTCTTTGCATTGGTAAGAAATCCCTATTAGCACACCACATTCCTCCATTGAAAGATCATGATTCAATAGTAGAGTGCATGCTTTGGTTGCAGAAGAATCCAATTTCAGTCCCTGGCATACCCAGATAAAGAAGATCAAATGTTAGGTGATGGGGGAAGCCATTGCTGGTCAGAATAAAGTCTTTAGCTCCATATATAATAATGGGCTGACCTGATAGCAGTTTCACATGACCTTATTTTAGTACACAGTAGGTTTCTTAGTTTCAGCTAAATGGCAATGGAAAAAGATAGCTGAAAAGAGGTGATTTAAAAAGAGCAAAAAATGAAAGCAAACAGAGTTTGAACATGCTGGTTAGATAAATTTGAAAAATATGATATTTTCCCCAAACTTTTCTTTATTTTTTTTATAAAGGAAAACCTATCAGAGTGCTTTTTGTCTATGCTTGTTAACTTACCTTTCCATTAGAATCAGTGTCTAGTACTAGCATTGTTTTCTACAGTGAGCAGTCAGTTGCTGATGAGAAGCCAATCAGCAATGCATCAATACCCTTTTCTTACTATAGTATAAAATGTTGTCTTAACTGTATCAAAATTATTTAGGAACTAGATCCTCTGTGTGGGTGAGGATCAGTTTTCGTTAATCCGACACAAGCTTCAGGTTCCTTATCAACATAATAGGATGGTGCATGAGTGAAGGGAAGTTGCCCCCAATGCCAAGTGAGAAACTTGGAAGTTTTTCTCATGCATCCAAATCTCTGGTTTCATGCGGAGTTGACTCTTACTAATTACTAATAAATGCTGTTATTAGTAATAGATAGATATATTAATTCAATATAAATCTGATGAGTCAATAGGTTTATATTGAGTCCCTTTGAGGAGAGAGGGCAGGTAAGAATGGTTGTTGTTGTTGTTGTTGTTGTTACTATTATTATGTTCCATTGATTTCAGTGGCTCTGTTACATTTGGAATTAACAATAGGATCCAAGCCTATATATTTAAGCATTCATTCCTGCAAGTTTGCTATTAGCATGAGGTGCACAAGTAGGATCACGGTAAAGCTTTTGCTCATTGAAGCAAAGGCATGTTATCTTTAACATGTTTTCATGTTAACTGGCTGCCAATTTGCTACCGAGCACAATTCAAGGTGCTGGCTTTAGCCTATAAAGCCCTAAACGGTTCTGGCCCCACTTACCTCTCCGAACGCATCTCCACCTATGAACCGACTAGGACATTAAGATCGTCTGGGGAGGCCCTGCTCTCGGTCCCGCCTGCGTCACAGGCGCGCTTGGCGGGGACGAGAGACAGGGCCTTCTCAGTGGTGGCCCCTCGGCTATGGAATGCCTTGCCGGCAGACATCAGACAGGCACCTTCGTTGCTGGCGTTTCGGAAAAAGGTTAAGACCTGGCTTTATGAACAGGCGTTTGGTTGAACAGTGCAATCAATCAAGGAAGACGGTAAATGGAACATAGGAATGGCACAAGGATTATGAGAACGGATCTGATTTCACTGAGGCGTTATGTTGTGTGTGTTGACTGTCCTGTTCTGTTTTGTTAACTGTTGTGGGTTGATGTGTTGATCCTGTTTGTCGCACTTGTTGCGTTTTAATTGCACTAACACTGTTAATAATTTGTACCATGTAAACCGCATAGAGTCGCCTGTCTGGCTGAAATATGCGGTATAAAAATAAAGCAAATAAATAAATAATAAATAAATAAATCTTCATTCTGTGTACAGAAGCTAAATGTACTGTTCGTTGAATTTCCTTGAACACTGGTGATGGAATATTGTTTCCCACCACATAAGAAGCAGCAGGCGGGTTGAACATGGTGGTAGAGTGAGCACAATATGGTATGAGGCATACACTACAATTTTTCTAATGTCAGGAGTAAGAAATTTGGCCTTCTGCAAGGACGTTGCCCAGATGTCTGATGATTTACCATCTTTGTGGGAGGCTTCTCTCATGTTCCTGCATGGCGAGGTGGAGCTGACAGAGCTCAACCCCCTCTCCCTGGATTCGAACTGCTGGTACAAGAGTTTAACCCATTGCACTACAGAGGGCTCCTATACACTGCACTGTTCTTCCATAAGGGAAGCAATAACAGTTGCCTTCTGTGATGGTTGCATCACTCTGTCAAATGGTAGAACCGGCTTTGTCCACAAGCAAAGACTGAAGAAAATAGCTGTCCTGCTCTTGCTGTCCTAGCAACTAGAGTTAAGTGGCAAACTGAGTTGCAAGTTCCATTTATAGCTGTCAGGGCTAATAACAGCTTATGGAAGTATCCTCCATGAATATGTCTAGTCCTGCTTGAAAGCCATCAACACTAATGACCATCACCAGGACACTTGATGGCAATGAGTGCTCTACATTAGTGAAGTAATCACAGTTATTCTGCTGTCTCAGCTTGATGGGAGGCTGTGTTTGTTGCTATACATTTTGTTTGCTCATATGTCAGTTTATCTGTTTTATGTATAGCATTTGCAAAGATATTTGGAATACAGATATTTTGGAGTGAGGGTGGATGGGGCTAGTGAGCCTTAGAAGTCTTTTCCAGTGCTATATTTTAAAAATGTTCTTTTGTTTCCCTTCTTGCAGGGGGCCATTTCATGCTTCCCAGAGGAACAAAAGTTGGTTCAAATTCAGAATGCCATCCAAGAACTTCCACCCTCTCATTACAGGTGAAATCAAACCCCAGCCTCTAAAATGCTGGGATAGACTTGGTGATTCTTATTAGTGACAGGGAATTATTGGAATTATGAGCGTATGAGTTCAGACTAGCAAATAATTTAGTTTTTTTCTCCTCCTTAATCAGCATTAGAAAAATTGTATATTTACCATTCAGAAAAAAAGACAATTCCCTAGAGTCATGATCACTCTTCTCCAGCAACCCCCAGGGTGCAATTGGCATGAGATCTGTGAAATGTCTTTACTTACAGAAGTGCTGATCTGCTACTTCCCGAACTACCCAAACTATTAGCCATGCGATGTCCATCAGTTCTCCACTACACCAGCGTCTAAAGAAAGATACCATGGTTCATTAAAACACTTCTATCAGAGTACGCTTTAGTTTCTGACAGCCTCATCCTGATAGTCACTATGGTGATTTTTTGCTTCAGCAGTAGGTTCATAAACCACATGCAATTCCTAACCAGTTCAACAAAGATATAGTTTAGAATAGATGTTCTTTTCTTCCTTTCTATCTTCTCCCAAAGATATGTGACGATAGTAAAGAAGATGAAAGCTAGAGGATTAGAAATATGGTTTATGCAACTCCTGAAAAGTGTAGTCCATAATAAAGTGACAAGGAAGAGCTTGAAATAGTTGTTTGAGTGTTGGGCTATGACTCTGGATCCCCACATAGCTATGGAAACCCACCTGGGATAAGTCACCTCTCAGCCTCAGAGGAAAATAAAGGGAAACTACCTCTGAGCAAATCTTGCAGAGAAAACTCTGTGATGGATTCACCTTAGGGTTGCTAAAAGTCAAAATCAACTTGCAGACAAACACACAACAACAACAACAATAACAATAACAACAACAACAAATCATAACATGAATAGAAATGGGAGCTGAGAGAGATAACATTTAGAAATATGGCATTGCATCATTAGCAGAAATTATCTATCATGTTCCATTCAAGATATTTCATATGATGCTTAGATACTTTTCCTTGAGCAAAGCCAAGATGTGTACACATCCTAAAGCCTCTTTTTTTATCTTCATCAAATGCTTGCAGGACCCTGGAATACCTGAGCAAGCATCTGACACTTCTTGCATCCTTCAGCAGCATGACCAATATGCACACCAGGAATCTGGCTTTAGTATGGGCACCTAACCTTCTCAGGTACATTAAGAGCTCTTCCTGTTTTCATTATTGGCAAAGGCAGCACAGAGAACATTGTATGGAAATGGCGTGAATATAGAAGTTAAGGACTGCATGGGCCTGAAGTAACTAATCAGAATAGATCAGCTCTTGGGAGGTAAATCAATGCACTTGCAGACTACTCAGCTGCCAACTGGGAGGTCACAGGTATATCTATAAACAAAGTAAATGTTTTCCTGGATATTACTTTGGCTGAAGATGGGGTATTAGAGGTAGAAATAATGTGAAAAGAAAGGAGATAGGTTCCTAGACCCTCTGCAAAAGATATTTTCAACATATTTCAGCAAAGTTTTATTCATAACTAATAACGTGCACATGTCCAATGAAAAAAGCAGGTCAGGTAAGCCTCACATGACAAAACAAAAACATATTCTATGTGTATATTCCGCCAGGCTCCAAGTTTAGTATTAACGTATTTCCATTTGTCAAACTTTGCTTTTTAAACATCCTTGAGGCAGCTGGTGAGGCAGGCTTTATCTCTTTCCCCCTTTTCTCCCTATTTTGCTGCACACATCACTACAGGAAAATAGCCTAGAATAGAACCATGACCCTTCTCCGGTCATGCTTTGTTTACTACATTGCTTACTGGAGGCTCACTGCTGCAATTTAACACTGAAGGTCTCTGTTTTTTTAGTCCCACTTAACCATTCTCCCCAAACAAGTACTGGTAAAACACTTTCAGCTAGACAGAAAGAAAAGAAGAAAAGGGCTGAGAGATATACAGTAAATTCAACAGCAACAAAAAAACCCCAAATAAACAGATTGCGATGCAGCTCCTGTACTCCCTACCAGTATAGCCAGTTCAACATCTGGAAGGCTACACATGCCCAGTCTCAGTTCTAGCAAGTATCATGTTGTTAGCAAGAATGGAAATATGCCATTATCATGGTTAGCAGAAACCTTGAAAGGCTATCCGGACACTTGAGGAGCCCCTCTTTATGGAATACACCAGCATATCTCTTGCTACTTTTTAAGTCCCTTTCACACAATATTTTTATAGTAGAATACAGCAGAAAACAGGACTTTCTAAACAGCATTGTTATATCCAGAATAAACTACTGCAATGTGCTCTACATGGGGTTGCCTTTGAAGACTGTTCGGAAGCTTCAAATAGTCTAACGAGAGACAGCCAGGTTAATAACTGGGGTGGCATACAGAGTGCACACAACTCCCATGTTACATCAGCTCCACTGGCTGCTACCGGGCATAATTCAAAGTGCTGGCTTTGGCCTATAAAACCCTAAACAGCCCCTACCCAGTTTACCTGTCCGAATGCATCTTCCTTTATGAATCACCATGAAGACTAAGATCTTCTGGGGAGGCCCTGCTCTCGGTCCTGTCACCGTCACAGATGCGTTTGGCGGGGACGACAGACAGGGCCTTTTCAGTGATTGCTCCCCCTGGCTATGGAATTCTCTTCCTGCCAATATTAGATCAGCCCTCTCCCTCCTGTCCTTCAGAAGGATGGTGAAGACCTGGCTGTAGGACCAAGCCTTTGGGGCAGTGCAATGAGGCAATAATAGAATGGTGTCCTGAGATGGATTTGAAGCAACTGATTTTAAAGTGGATATAAGTGATTTTAATATTTGTGTATATTAATGGTTGTATGTCCCTGCATTGAATGTTTGCTGTGTATATGTTGTGCTCTACCCTGTATCCCCTGTAGGGTGAGAAGGGTGGAATATAAATGTTTCAAATAAATAAATATTCTGTTTTCCTCCTGGTGCAATCCCCCACCCCTCATTTTTGGATACCAATGAAGTTCATTTGTTGGTCCAAATCACACTATTTTTTTTCTTTCCCCTTTTGTATGTATCTCTATTATAGGGGTCAGGTTGGTCTAAGTGTTTATATTCTAAGTCAGTGGTTCTCAACCTGGGGTCCCCAGATGTTTTTTGCCTACAACTCCCAGAAATCCCAGCTGGTTTACCAGCTGTTAGGATTTCTGGGAGTTGAAGGCCAAAAACATCTGGGAACCCCAGGTTGAGAACCACTGTTCTAAGTATATGGTGAATATGGAACATTTCAAACCTTATTATTGATTACCTCTCAATTTCATCCTCCATCAAGATACTGTTCCCCATAGCTTAACATAGCTGTGTGTTGTGACCTTCCAGTTATTGCTCTGGATCATTTTCTTTTTGACACATCTGTTCAAACATAAGCCCCTTTGAATTCTATGGAACTTCTAATCCTGTCAATTCAGTCTCCACATAGAAGCAAATCCATTGTCTTTGATAGGATGTGTTTCCCAATAAATTAATTCTTTGTTATATGTTTACTGTTGTTTCTGTGCATTATCTCACATGATTTTGATGTGTTTGTCTTCAAATATTCACTGAATATTTGCATTTTGTTTTCTGTGTTGAAACCACCCTGAGTCCCTTTGGGGAGAGAGGGAGGTCTAGAAATAAAGTTGTATTATTATTATTATTATTATTATTATTATTTAAATGTTATAAGAAGGAGAGAGACAGTTGAGAAGGTAAGAGATGGAAAGAGACCGAGAGATTAAATTAGAGATATTGAGAAATCAGAGAGGTTGAGGTGCGTCTTTGTTGGGGTAATGTGACTACACTCCAGTGGGTTATTTTTAATATTTTTCTTTGATGGGCAGCAGATTTACACAACGATGAAAATGGCATTAAAGCACGTGTTTCAAACACAAAGCCCATAGGCCTAATCTGGCTCACCATATCATTTTATGCGACCTGTAAGGCTTGTAATGCCAGGGAAACATACATTTATACAGTCTTAGAATTATAAACAGCCCTATGAAGGCAACCATAAGGCTGATGTGGTTCTTGGTGAAAATGAGTTTGACACCCCTGCACTAAAGCCTGTGAAATATGAAGTGAGGAAAGGTGACACAGCTTGCATCAGTTTTACACTTTGCCCAACTCTGGTGTATATGTTTTGTGCATTGAAGCTTTTTGAACTCAAAGTCCAGATTCAATTTTAAGACATTTTCCAGGAATGCATACCATCAGTGGAGTTCAAAAGCTTAAGATCAAAGGTATCAACATATTTAAGCCTAAGGCTCTTGCTTCCAGGAACTACAGTTAAGTCTTACACATTTTACTATTTCAGAATGGAGGGGAGGTACAAACCCCACTGCTGGAAAACTACTAAAATAAGGTGTCATAGGGAAGGGAGTGTGAGGCCCTTTGGGTCATGCCCAGAGAGTTGGTTTTGGGCCCGTGAAGGCCAACTTCAGGCCCAGCTCTTGAAGTTCTTTACCCTGCTTTAAACAGAAACCATATTGCTACAGCTTGAAAGTATGTGGATGTGTGACTTTTAAGCAAGAGTGTAGAAATGGAATTGCCTTTCATAAACAAAGCTAGGCTCACATAAGGGGAGGGAGGAAGATAGACAGACAGATGCTGCATAGATAACTTGATAGCCTTGAGATAATTCTTGGCATTCTTAAAGCTTAAAGTTACATTTTTGCACCATATCTCTCAGACTCCACTGGCCAGTATTGCAATACGCCCAGTTCAAAATATTATCTACAATTTGAAATGCCAACAGAGTGTTCACAGCTTATAGCAAACGTGGACTGCTTCTGAACATATGGCTGCCAGTCATATCCAATCTTTGCTCCTCCATTATAACCTTCAAGTAGAATTGCAATGATTTTTAACACTATATAAAGCCTTGCCCTTTTTCTGTTTCTACATCCTGCCAGTAAAGTCTACATCAGTGGGAATGAAATAAATGCTATGTGGATGAGAAAGTGGAAGGTTCAACTCACCTGAGTGGCCATATAAAGCTTAATGAACCTCGGGTTCACTATAACTTTTGCAGCAGGCATTATTTATCACCTTGTTTATTGTTATAATTGTAACATCTTATAATTAGACCTGAAATGCTTATAGGGCTATATTTCCTAAATGATTAAAAACATTAATAAAAGGGTACCAAATCAAGAGTGTTTTTCCACTACAGTGCTTATTTAGAAAAATGTTGGGGGAAGAAAAATGTCGTATCATGTTTGTTTGGTAAATCATTATAGAAATCATCATTATAGTATTAGAGTTATACAACTCTATCTTAATATCTTTAAAAAATAGCAAGCAATATAATTCTTTATGATTTTAAAGAAACATATTTTAGAACTAATTTAAAAACATATGAAAACATTGTCTGGGTGCTAAAATTGTACCCACTACAAATATTAATAGTGAATGCCTACTGAACTGTGAGTGGTTCAACTATCTGATATCTCACAAACTATAACAAAGCCCTTCAAACTGAATGAAATACATCAATTCTTGTTCTTTGAAGAGGGACAGGTGTTTTCATCTGGGAAAAGGATGAAGGAATTATAAGGAAATTATAAGGTGACAATGATTGGAAGATGCTGTGGAATCTATGATCATGGAAAAGGCCCTCAGTAACTGCTGGAGTTTGGTTCCACGACCATCCATGGATGCTCAAGTTGCATTATATACAATGGAATAGTAAAATAGTGTTCCTTATATAAAATAGCAAAAGAAACATTTTTTTTGGATTTTATTTTAATATTTTCAAGGTGTGGAATGTGGAATCCATAGAAATGAATGACTGTGTTTAGTGGTATATTTCTGTATCCAATTAAATGTTAAACTGGTTACCAGAAGGAGGAAGCCAATGTGTCTACCATCTACGGTATAGTCATGCTAAAGAAAGAGAGCGGAAGTGCACAAGCTGAATGCTTATTCTCATAGCACTAAACCATGGTTCATTATTATATCTCAGCACACCCAGCTCCCATGAATAAGTCTAATAATATCTCATGAAAAATGTTGGGTGCATTTGAGAAGATATTTCTTCATATAGTGTCTCATTTAATGAATCAGGGCAACAGATAAACTGTTACAGAGATCATATTTGTTTTAGTTAGTTTTGAGAAAACTCAGTTCCTGATCAGCTTGTGAGCTAGTGCTAAAGATAGCTCACTCGAGACTCTGGCCTTGCAAACAGGTTGCCAGGACTACTGTAACAGGAGTTTTAGGGGGGGGGGGGGGAAATAAGCAACATTACTTCCTGGCTTAGTTACTCTAAATAAATGACAATCAAGACAGAGCTGATCCTGTAATTGCAAGATGTGTTAAACTGGAATTCTTTTGATTTCATCTACTTTTCTTTGAGGGAGGCAGGGACAAAATCTGAATCCCTTCTTCCATCTGAATCCCAAAGAGAACATGAAAGAAGCATGCAATACAGCTGCAGTTGCCAAAAATGGCTATCCTAAAATGGCAAAGTCCCTTCCAGAATTTTATCAAACATTCCAGTCACTAACTTTACAAGGATTTATTGCTTCAAGATAATTTCCTCAGTAACACTTTGACATGTCAAGATAAGAAACAGTTTTGGGTTGTGGGTTGAGGGAGAGATTGGTTCTGACCATACAGGGTGAGATGTATGTTATGGTAGGCATATGCGACAGACGACAACAAGCAGGCTTCAAAGAAGGGAGGGGAGAAAAAAATCCAAAAAAGTAATCACAATTAGTTGTGATGTTTTCTGTTTGAGGATTTCCTGTCCCCACTTGATACTGTTTTGATGTGATGGTTCTACCCAGACATAATCTAAATCCTGGGGATATAGTGCGGCAGCTCCAGCCGTAACTATTGCTGTTAGAGCAATATTTGAGCCTTTAAAGGGAAGCTATTTATCAAGAAACACCTTGGTAGAACATCCTAGTTATCGTCCACAGATTTTGGAAAAATAATGATTTTTTTTTACTTCAAGTCTCTGAATATTGCAGTTAACATGGCCACTGCCCAGGGGAAATGTTGAAATTTGTAATCCAAGGGCCCATCTACATGGGACAGAAAATCTGGAACTAGTCTGGAGTGCCCCCTCCTTTTCTCAGGTCACACAGATGTGTTGAAGTCAGCAAAAATGCCCAGCAATGGCCATGGCTGTAGTACAAGGGGCAGCAAATGTAAATTTCCTCCCCTTTCCACTGCCCTGCAGAGTGCAGGGAAAAGATTTTTATAATACTGACCCATGTAGATAGCGGATCAGTCCAATTAGAACCAGTATAATTAGTCACACCTTCCACAAAGTATGGATTTGCTCCAGAGATTCCGAAAAACTCCAGAGCATTCCATGATTTCCGCTAACTTGAAGTACATCATGTGGATATCTAGAAGCAACTCCTGGCCTGATTTGGGGTTTGTGTCCCATATAGACAGGCCCCATAACAATAACCTTGAAAAACTAGGAGTCCATATGTTTTTTAGGCTTCCTTGTACCCAAATTTTGCTGTTAGACAGAACTGTAGAGGGGTGAGGATTTAACATCAGTTTGTAAGAATGTACAAACATTTCCAAACTTCGTAGGATAACAATAGGTCTTGCTAAAAGTGTATACAGCAGATTCTATTCATTTGGCTTATTAATAAGTGTGCACTTTAAATTTCATCCAGTTCTGCTGGAATACGCATTGCATCTAGATGTGCTTTGAAATAATCTGAAGCTATTTTTTGCTTGTATCCTTCTACTGTTTTTTCCCCCATGCTGATGTAATTTCTTGCTGGTAGGTTTTTATATTATGATGTTGGATGGAGTCTTGTGGAGTTGCATCCATGTACTGTTTCTTAAATGAAGTAATTATGTTTTCTTTATAAAAAAGACTTATTATCATAGTTGGATTCAGACTACACTATTCTTAAGAAAAGATGAGTTAAAATTCTAGGACCTAATTTTGTTGTCCTTCCCACATTTTGACTTTGCTGCTAGAGAAAGAAAAAATATTGAATTTTTAGATAACTCGCATCCTATTGTGATGTCACTATAACTTTATAGTTACATTTGTCATAGTAGAGATGTGGTCTTACTTGATGACAGAATATAACTATCATATGGTTCAAGTGTTGGCTGTATTTAAAAGAACCTAAGGGGGAGAGCTAACTTTCTCAATGAATTGCAAGCAAGCAATGACTATATGTAACTATTTACAGATAATTTTCTTCCAATTGCTTCTCTTACTGTGGCGCAGGTCAAAAGAGATCGAGGCTGTGGGCTGCAATGGAGATGCAGCTTTCTTGGAGGTGCGAGTCCAGCAGTTGGTCATTGAATTTATATTGAACCATGTTGATGAAATCTTCAGTGATAATGCCACTGCCAGACCAAAAGAGGATGAAGGTGAGTCCTTCTCACAGGGACCATTTGAGAAGGCCTTCTGTGTAGCTGCCTGTAGAGCAGGCATGGGCATTTTTGGTTCTCCAGCCTATCAGCTGTTAGGAATTTGGCCCCCTTGGGGGGGCAAAGTTTCCCCATGCCTGCTGTAGAGCCTAGGAGGTAGGTAGATTAATTTGGTTCTCTACTTGCGGTCCTTCCACCACTAGATGAAAACTTTTATTTTGATAAGTAAAGGTAAAAGTTTTCCCTGGCATTAAGTCTAGTCGTGTCCAACTCTGGGGGATGATGCTCATCTCCATTTCTAATTCGAAGAGCTGGCATTGTCTGTAGACATCCAAAGTCATTTGGCTAGCATGACCATATGGAGGACCATTATCTTCCAGCAGAAGTGGTACCTATTGATCTACTCACGTTTGCATGTTTTTGAACTGCTAGGTGGGCAGAAGCTGGGGCTGACAGTGGGAGCTCACCCCGCTCCCCAGATTCAAACTACCAACCTTTCGGTCAGCAAGTTCAGCAGCACAATGGCTTAACCCACTGCACCACCTGGGGGACCGACATTTTACTCCAATAGGCAAAAGGAAACAACTTTTATCGTTTATTTTTAAATTTAGTTAATATGCTTTTTAAAAAGAATTCTAGAGATAGTTTAACTACATTTAAAATAACCTATGAATATTTTCTCTATATCCAAAATTCCTACATTGCTTGCGTAATTTGTTGTTGTGGAGATTAGTATCCTTTCCTTCCTCTGCAATGACCAAAGCCCTCTGATGATAACCACTCCCAAGTGCCATTCTGAGAGGTATCTGGCTATTCTTCCATACTGAGTCATGGGCTGACGACACTATCTGCTGAGGCCCCCAGAGTACCCCAACAGATCTTAGTGGAAGATGTCCTTGATTTGCATCTGAATATGTCTCTCTGATCCCATTGCCTCTGAGTTTTCACCAGCTATGGAAAGGTTACCAGTAAGGGAGGTCAATGCCAATGGAGTTCCGTATGTATAAGCAATGCACATCCATGTAGGATCTCAGTTCATATATATGTTTACTTGTGGCTCTTATTTATTTGGCAAGCCATGTTGAGTTCTAGTCTGGTAAAAAACTAGTTTAGAAATGAAGAACTACAGTACATTGCAGTCCAGTAAGACCTCTTTAACTGCAGAACCCATACCTGCAATTTCACTTACCTATGCCCAGGGGGAAATGTTTTTTCTATGAATTTCTGAGGTCCTCCAGTGCAATTCTATGGAATACTTCCCTTGGAAATGATAATAGACTCATTATGGAGGACCTAGAAAATTCCTAGGCCAACCAGCACAAACCTATGGTATGTTGGGACTATAAATCAGGTAACTTAATGGCATACAGTCATATCTACAATTTCAGTCTGGTTGGGAACATATATCCTGTGAATATGGTGGCCTTGCTGTACAATTTTGTAGCTCTTTCAATACACTGTTGGTGACTATTTACAAATTCATCAAAAGCCATTTGGCTAGTAAAATGCATTGACTTTATTTGAGGTCTCATATGTGCTAGTGTGCATCTCAACTCTACATGGTAACATGTAGAAGAAGGAAATGTTCTGACCTGTGGCATTAACATATTTTAAAAAGAAAGGCCAAATCCTGTTGGACCACTATGCTAGTACAACATGCCCCAGGCATTCACAAAAAGCATCCAGAACATCCTTAGGCATGTGGCTCGCTTAGCAAATGTTATGAAAAGCAAAACAAATCTCCCCATACCTAATGACTCAGTTTCATAGTCTAACTATTGATGAGGAAAATTATCTCCCATATCATTGGTTCAGAGTTTTGTGTTTTTATGGTCTGCTGTTAGATGCTACTCTGGGTATGTCTCCTATTCACATACAAGCCAACATGATTTGAGCACACTTGGGAAAACCCAGTGCAGCGGATGTCTTTATTTTTTGCCAAGGCCTGGAAATATGACTTTTTTTTTTGGCCCAGCTCTCAGAATTCTGGAAGTTTAGTGCTAAATAATCACTTCTACAAGACTTGATATTTGTTCTCTATTGGTAATGGAAGCTCCAAACATTCCTGCAGACAGGAACCACGAGAATCTGTGAGAAGCCTTCAGGTCTCACCATTCTTTGTTGCTTGTTTTCCATCTCCTTGCCAGTGAAACTTACTAATTTGAGGAGGGAAACCAAAGAGAAGAGGTTTAGAGAAGGGTGGTCAGCAGCAAGGATGTTGGGTCCCACAGAGGACTAGTTTGGCTTAGGATGTAATGATTTTCCCTTGTCACTAGCCTGCTCCTTGCTGAGATAACAAGTCATCACTCTAAACCTTTGGCATATTGGTTGAGTCGGGAAGGGCTAGTTAAACTTTGGACATATATCAGAAATGTTGGACAATTAGCATTCCTCATGCTAAAATGTCTAACAGTCCTATAATCCCCACACACACGAGCCAAATTGTGTTGGCTCATGTGTGACAGCTCTAATGCATATTGGTTGCTTTACATTCCTCCATGAGTTAGCAGTTTTATAAAGGCAATCTGAAAGTTTGGGAAAGGGCTTTTGGGGGAATACTTGTATTTCCCAGTTAGCATGGCAAGTGGCCATATTGGCTGGAGGATTTTTGGAAAATAAAAATAAAAGAACTTTTCCAAGTATGGTGCAATCCATACTATCATAATGTTTGAAAATACAGATTACAGTGCTATTAGAGCTTTCCCAGCTCTTTGATGAGATGGCCAATACAAATAGTTTATATCTAATAAGAACTGCAGTTTTAAAAAATATCTATATGATGGCAAAATCTTAAAATTTACATTGTTTTCCACCATTTCATCATCAAAGATCTAATGTTAGAATAACTACATTGTTTCAACGGCATGCACTTTGATGTTTCTGCATCAGTTCCGTTTCCCCCTTGTATTAACATTTGTTTTGTTTGTTTCCTCCTTCATTTACTGAGGTGAGTTTGCTTTCCCGCTAGTTTTCTTATTTATCAGTGACCACTGTTGTTAGTGAGAAGCAATTCTGAAGTGCCAGCCAGCTGAAGCTGGGAAAGTCTGGTTTAATCACCAGGCCTATTTATTTGAAGTCAAAGGCTGGCACTTTGATGCTTTTTGCTAACAATAGTCACTATTGATAAATAGGAAAAGTGACTGCGGTTTTCAGAACCAATTCCCTGAAATAGCTGGGAGCAGAGGAAAATGTTGATTCATCTCAAAGGCCAGGATATGAGCTGAGCCTTCCCAAAGTTCAGGACACCAGGAATCCTCAGGCCTCTGCTTCAGAAGACGCAAGTCAAAGTGCTTTGGAGTTCCTTGGCTAATGACCAGGAACCTACTGAGATAGAAGGCAGGGGAGATGGAATGAATTGCTGGGAAAGAAGAGATGTCAACCAACAGGCAGATTTCCAAGCTCTGTTTTTATTGGAAAAGAGATGAAATGCTTGAGAGATACCTGCTGAGGGCTTTCCCCTTCTCCCTCCCCCATTCTGGCACTCCATCTGCCAGCAGGGCTGGAGCCTGTAATTTCTTTCAGAGCTAAAAAAAAGTTCATCTTTTGGCCCACAATTCCCAGAATTTCCCAGTTAGCATGACTTTTCAAATCTCTGATGTCTGTTCCATTCTTTTCCCCAGAGAACAAACCCATAATGAAGAGCTTGACACTGCCTCCATCTGCCTCCCTGCCAATGAAGCTGGTTAGCTTGGAAGAAGCACAGGCCCGTAGCCTCTCTGCTTGCCATCCTGCCCGGAAGGAGCGGCGGGAGAACAGTTTGCCAGAAATCGTTCCAGTCACGGGTTCGTTCTTCCACACTGTCCTTGACCTACCTGACAGCAAGTAAGTATCTCACTTCCTCCATGCTTCGGTTTTGAACAAAAACAAGCCCAGAGTCAGGAGTTTCACAAACAAATGGATGCTCTCTATAAAAACGCCCTCTATCTTGGACCTGCCTGATTTATTTGCTAACTGATCTTTAGCAGAAAATAGCACCCTTCCCCCAAGACAAGGTGCATGTTATGCTAAGCCACTTGGGATAGACTGGCACCTGAAGTGGATATATTCTCGGAGATTAAGATCATCGGGGGAGGGCCTGCTCTCGGTCCCACCTCTTTTGTGGGTACGACTGGAGGGAACAAGAGACAGGGCCTTCTCAGTGATGGCCCCTTGGTCATGGAGCTCCCTCCCCAGTGATATTAGATCAGCCCCTCCCTCCTAGCCCTCAGAAGAAAGATAAGAACTTGGCTGTGGGATCAGGCCTTCATAGAATAGTGCAGTGCAATTAACAGATCTGGAATATATGGAATGACTATGGGATGGCTTGGACTATGTCTATGGATGGCGTGATTTTAATATGGAATGTAATGTTTTAAAATGTTTAATGTGTTTTTAATTTTAATCTAATTTAATTTTAATTTTTTTGGAATTGTACATGTTTTAAGGCATTGAATCATTGCCTCTGTGTAAGCTGCCTTGAGTCCCCTTCAGAAAAAGGCAGGGTATAAATAGAGTAAATAAATAAACAATAAATAAATTCTAAATATCTCTTTTCGTGATAGAATGCACACATAACAACTTAAATAACTCTGTTCTGCCTTTTTGTGACACCCAGAATCTGCCTCACATACCCAGTTGTAGGGTCAACCTGTCACATCTCTCAGAACGCCTACCATGGTACCTGAATGAGGAAGAACCATGGTGCTTTGTGCAGCAGAAGAGGGCCACACTGACTAAATTTAATTAGATTTCTTTCCTCAAGGTTAAATACTTGCACCCTTCAAAATCGCTAAAAGAAGGTCAATACTCTACAAGCATTTACATTTTCAGTGTCTGGAGAGCTTTCCTTCCATATAGCCTGTGGAGGATATAGATCCCACTAGCCGAATATTGCTTCCTAACATCAAGGGAAAACCTCAATGTCTTTTCTATCCAATTGGATGAAACAGGTAGAGATGGCAAGGTTTGAACTTGGGAGTTGATGCATGCAAAGCATGCATGCTGCCTCTGAGCTATGGTCCAATGTCCAGACTGTTCAGTCAAACAGAAGGATGTAGAGTTGTTCAGAAGGAATTGCTTTCACTGCTTCGCCTCATTTAGTATCTTTGATCAACGGGAGTAGAATGCTAAGGAGATCTTGAGAGATCTGTTATAAGAGAGACATCTACTGGTGACCTGCCCTTAGTACAGATACAAGGCCCATCTCTGAAGAGCCACCTCTCTCTCAATAAGTCCTGAATATGAAGGAGGTGGTCTACCTGCCTGCTTTTTATGCCTAGTTCACAGTGCAGGCTTGTTGCAAGATGGCAGAAGTGAGAGCCTTAATGGATTCTCAGCAGTGCTTTAAAGTAGCTTATATTACTGTCCATCGATGGCATTCAATCAAAAACATGTAATGTAATATAGTATTAGCCACTACATTGCAACATTATGATTGTAATGTGATGACTACTTCAACTTTTCATCCTTCTCCTCTATTCATTTATAATCTACCTTTCCCTCTAATATTACAAATCAAAGAGGTATTGAACTCCTCATGGGTGACTGTCCTTGGTTGGTAGGCAGCATTTAGGTTATCTAGCCCTTGTTGTTCATTCGTTCAGTCGTCTCCGACTCTTCGTGACCCCATGGACCAGCCCACGCCAGAGCTCCCTGTCGGCCGTTACCACCCCCAGCTCCCTCAAGGTCAGTCCAGTCACTTCAAGGATGCCATCCATCCATCTTGCCCTTGGTCGGCCCCTCTTCCTTTTGCCTTCCACTTTCCCCAGCATATCTAGCCCTACCTTATAACAAATTATCTCTGCAAGTAAACTCCAGATCTGGCCTAATAGAAGAGATTTTCTCCTTCCCTCTGACTGTTCTTTTACACTGCCCCTTGAAAATGTTATACAGAAAGTTGTGGTGGGCTATTTAATTGTTTCCATGGTGGGAGTAGGAGCTGTAGGAATCTATGAAAATCATTTAGAGCCAATTTCTATCAGATTACTTTCAGGAGAAATCATATCTGGATCTAACAGTGTTGTGTACTGGCAACTTGAATCTTGAAGCCACATCAGACTTTGTACTATTCACTTAAATACTAGATCTGAGATGGGAATATAACATATCCCTGTAGTACTAGAGTCAAACATTTTAACTGAAAGTAATCCACCATTGGATTCTGCCCTTCCCTATACGGAGGGGTGGGTAACTTTGGTATATATAGGGGTCTATCTTGCTTTCTGGGGACTCATGCAGGAAATTCCCAACCTCCAAATTTGTCAGACTTCTCCCCTGAAAAGTTTATGCTCAGTTTCAAAAACAAGCCATTTTGAAGAGGGGAATCCCCATTTCTGGTGGGTTCTAGGAGTAGCATTTCTGCTTTTTGTAGATGAATTGATGGACAGAGGAGGGAATCCAATGCTCCCAAAGATGAATGGGAAGCTATCATGAGCCTATCAGCCATATGTCATCTCTGTATATGATCTTATGGGTTGCGCGCCCCTTAATATACAGCTCCACAATTAGGCCTTGGTGAGGAAGGATCTTGTAATTGATAGCATTTTATAATTAATCGACCATGTGTTTAAACAGAGGAAGATAAGAGAAATTACGATAATAATTTCATCCTTGCAATTAAATAGAGCTGCATTTGTTAATCTCTTCTCAATTTCTCTTTCCAGAAGAAAGTTATCTACAAAATCCAAGAAATGGAAATCAATATTCAACTTGGGCCGATCTGGCACAGAAGCCAAGACTAAACTGAGCCGAAATGGGAGTGTGTTTGTACGAGGGCAGAAGCTCTCTGGTAAGGACTGTTTGCAATCTCTGTTGATGAGACTTGTCTTCCCTCAGTTAGTGCAGTCTTGTTGCCCTTCCTTTGAGTATTACAAAATGTTCCAGTGTCTTGCAAAAGACATTTCACGCTAATAAAGTTATGAGAACTTAGAAGCAGCATGAAAGACTTTTGAAGAGAACAAGATGGTGATCACATATTTAACCTCTTGCATCATATGGAGTATCATTGGGAGTACCATGAAAAGCGGTTATAGCTAAAAGTATACAAGCTGCCTGCTGTGAATACTTCCCATTATATTGTGGGAATACTTGTTTCTCCATGAGTAGCTAGAATCTAGATGCAAGCACATACAGAGGTCAAGTACGTCTGCCCAGAATTCTCTTACTAAGAATATGTCTGTAGCATTCCTTTTATCACGGATAAGTCATACTGGAAATGCAGTTTTAATATTATTTGTATTTCCCATTGGAGTTCTACTCAGGGGGAAATCAGAATCATATCGAAAGTTATTCACTTTCCTACAATATCCTTTGGAGTCAAACCTCTTTGGAGAAAGAGGGAGAGAGAAAGAGAACAAATATCTATGAAATTTGAGTCTGGCAACAACAAAAATATGAATGTTACCAGCTGCAGATAAATGTTCCAAATGTATAATAGGTATTCTGGAGTTTTCATACTTAATCTGCAAATCAGTTTGTCTCCATAAAGGTACTGAACATGTAATGACCTTTTACCTTGAGGTGAAAAAAAAGGTTTTTGCAAAAATAATAGGAAAATGTTTGTACCTCCCTTGTCTGGACATGCTCAGCTTCTAACCATAGATGAGGCTTTTCTGAGTTACATTTGCATCATTCAGTTTTGTGTCACTGTACAGTTTTTGTGTTATTTTTTAATCTTTCCAGACGCCAGCACATTAAACTAAGTTCTTTACTACATCTTTGGAGGCTTTTAAACAGAGGCTGGATGGCTATCTGTCGGGGGTGCTTTGAATGAGAGTTTCCTGCTTCATGGCAGGGGGTTGGATTGGATGACCCACAAGATCTCTTCCAACTCAATGATTCTATGATTTCTTTTCCAGAAAAAGTAACCATTCGACCTGCTAAAAGTATGGACTCACTGTGTTCAATACCAGTAGAAGGTGAGGCTTGACCAACTTGTATTAAAAATGGCAGTCAAACTACATTCTCACTAAGGCTTTTTTTGGATCAAGTGATGTTAATATTTATACTAGGATGTTTTTAATGTTTTTTCATGCTTAAATGTTGTTTATGTCTCATGTTTAGTGGTTTTAATGATTTTAATTTATAGTCATTTGTTAGTATTTAGTTATTATGATTTTTTTTCTGTCTACATGTATGTTGACATTGAATTTTTGCCATTAGTATGTTGTAAACTACCTTGTCACCCCTCCCTCCCCGCCCTGGGTGAGAAAAGCGGTATATAAATATAGTAAGTAAATAAATAAAATGCTGGCATCCTGTTAGATAGTCCAAACTAGAGTAGACATATTCACCCAGTGGTGAATCACACACAGGGAAATCTCATTGATTGAATGATTTCCTCTAGTCTGGTCTAGAAACAGAATTTAGGCATAGGCATGTATAGGAATTAAAAACCTGGATGTTCAATTGTGCTTTCGATTAGGCAGTTTTCACCGGAGAATTATTTCAATCCTATTCCAAGCCCTGCATATTATTGTGGCCTTCCTTTCAGCTTACTATGACACTTTCTCTAAAGATATTCCTATTCCTTAATTATTTGAATCTTATTTATTATGCCGCTTTTCTCAGCCCTCAGGCACTTTCCATTGGCCACAGTTAGGAAGCTTTGCACTTACTCGTACCCTAATATCTTTATCTGTATTAGGGCTTTTCCCTTTGTAAGCTGCCCCAAGTCCCCTTGGGGAGATGGTGGTGGGGTATAGAATTATTATTGTTGTTGTTGTTGTTATTGTTATTTTACATGTACATTGGTGCCAGCTGCCTCTGTGATTTATGCTGATTAATTTATACTTTTGTATATATGCGTATCTTTGTTAGTATTCATTGGATTGTTTATTTGATTTTCAAATCTTTCTATTCTAAGGACAGAGACATGTTACTGTGCACACAGTATGTTTCTCTTCCTAGAATCAAAGGATTGGGTTGCCACCATAAGCCATAGTAGCTGATCTCAATTTCTCTCACACTTAAATGTACTTTCTGTAGCTGGCTTAGTGTGTTGACTGACTTCTTTTTTCCCTTGAAATAGCAGGATATTATGTACCATTGGTAAGATTCTTCAGCTTTTTTCTTTCTTTCCTTAGAAGATGAAAAAGGCCATTTCAAGCGTACAGTCATGGCTGGAGGGTTTTTTGTTCCAATGATGAAACCACGGATGGGAGGCCTAAGCAATTCACCTGATGTCACCAAACAGGAAGCAGAGTGGGATCCAAAGGAGGATGTGAAAGGAGCAGAGGGAGGGACAGAATACAATGGAGAGAACAATATTTCTCATCCTACCCAAGTGAGACCTCTTCCGGAACAGCTGAAAGTGTTCCGGGCCATAGAAGACCCTGAGAGTGAGCAAACCTCCCCAAAAATGTGCCGCATGTTCTATACTTCCAATGATGGGACAGCCAAATCAGGATTCCATGGGACTCTCTTCCCCCTGGAAGCCTCTCCCCGGCACCAACGGAAAGCTTTGAATATATCAGAGCCCTTTGCTGTCTCTGTACCTCTTCGAGTGTCTGCTGTCATCAGTATCAACAGCACCCCTTGTCGCTCACCAGCTAAAGAGAAGACTGTTTTTCCTAGCCTACAAGAATCTTCTTTCTTGGGGCAGGACAGTGCTATTGCTGCAGCCATTGGAGGAGATGATAATTCCAGATTAGAGCAGAATACAGTCAAGGAGGAAAGGAAGCCTGAGTCCAAAGTTGTAGCACCAGGTAAGCTTAAAAGGTTACAGTAATTCTTGAGAGCACGGGATGGAGGACTTGTCCATTTAGGTGTGACTTCGCTGCCAAGGAGGTGCAAGAGTATATTTTTGAAAGAAAAGAGACAAAACAGACTCAGAAGGGACAAACTGAGGTAACAAAACAGTTTGCAAAGAAAGGGATTATTATTTGAAACACAACAAGATGAGTCCACAGCAGACAAAATCATTATACTGGCTGTTGTATTGGATCACATATTGGACACTTCCCAAGTGTCTAGGACTGTGTGGTGTATCACTGAATAATGTGTGCAGATCCTAGTAGGGTGGCCTTTTGCAGCTGAAAGATAGTAATTTTATCAGTGACAATTGTGTTTAAGTGCAGGCTTAGGTCTTTAGGCACTGCATCCAGTGTGCCGATCACCACTGGAACCACCTTTACTGGTTTGTGCCAGAGTCTTTGCAGTTCGATCTTTAAATCCTCGTATCATGTCAGCTTTTCCAGTTGTTTCTCTTCAATCCTGCTGTTGCTTGGGATTGCAACATGAATGATCCATACTTTGTTTTTAAACACCATTGTGTTCCAAAACTTTTGTCAGTCTGAATTCGGAAGTCCCAGAGTAGTTTGACATGCTCATCTTCTGTAACATTTTTAGGCTTGTGATCCCACCAGTTCTTTGTCACAGGCAGATATTATTATTATTATTATTATTATTATTATTATTATTATTAGTAATAGTAGTAGTAGTAGTAGCTGTAGTATTTATATGGCATCATCAAATGTATATGGCACTTTACAACAAAACAAGAAAAACTATGGATCCTGCCAGAGTTGTAGAGTCTAAAATATATGTTTGTATGCATACACACACAAGGAAGGAGCAATATGAATTCACAAAATGATACAATACAATTGCAAAGCAAATCATCCAGATGAAATGTGAATAGAAAACACAACATAATATAAAGCAAATTGACAATGTATGCAATCAAAATATACAAAACAACATCATGCTTTCCATGCATCCTCAGCACTGCATTCAGTTGATCCCTCCTGAAACAGCTTATTACTTTTATTTTTTAAGTCAGTTATGGCTAATATTACATGTCAGCCCATGTGAGATCGCTGATTTGGTCCTTGGGCATTTTGATCAGCATGATGAGATGGTAAGAATAAGAGCTAGTTCTAAAATTGTAAATAGACTAGCTTGCACGCTGCTTCTTGCAGTCTTCAGATGCTGGGAGTAGGAATTGCCAAAGCTCAAGGTGGAGCAAAAAAACCTACAACTCCTGGCATTTTCAAATTGGGCTAAGAAAGATCTCTGTCTAGGATCATGAAAACCTCCTCCTCAGTGTAGACAATAATTGGCTAGAGGAATCAAAGCTGTTATTCTCATTTTGGAAGCACAGTCATATTTATTGATTCATTTTTGCTTCTGTTGTCCTTCCCCTTTAAGGGAGAAATTCAAAAACAATATAAGAGCTGGGAGGATCACCCCAGAATTAGCTGAAATACAGGAGTTCCCAGAAGATACGGGAAAGTGGGTCTCTCTACTTAACTCCTCTTTTGCTTCTTGACCAGATTCTGAGGAACTTGGAATAGCTAAGAAGCCAGAGTCTATGGGTGATGCACAACCTGCCACAAAAACTCAGGAGATAAAGAGTGATTGGAGAAATGACAGCCAAACTCCCCAGCCAAAACAGAGCTTGGAACAAACGTCACTGGTCAAGATTCCAGGAGACCAGCAGGAGAAAGATGGCCAGCTTGGAGATAAGGATCATCCAGAGCAAGGTTACCAGCAACAGGAACTTCTGAGAGACAAAGTGGAAGACACCTTGCACCAAAAGGAACTGGTAAGAAGGAAACATTAAATGTCAGTTCAATGATCCATGAAAGAACTGTAATGCAGTTATAGACCATGGACTTTGTAGATGGAAGTTTTATAGTTCAATTCCTGGTGTTTTGAGGGTTTGAACTATCCTAGAGACTTGCTGTCCTAGACAATTGTTGTCAATCAGTGCTAACAGAACTGGACTCAATGATCCAATGATCTAGATCTATAAGACAGTTTCCCATATTTCAGTACTTCAAGTGCCTAAATTTAGTTGCTAACTCCAGTTACAATAGACACATTGGATCAATCAGGGCCCTTCCACACAGCACTAAAACACAAGAGGAACTTGCGTTTTAAATGCATGTTTCTCTTGGGTTTGCAGCCAAACACTCACCATTTCAGCAGAGTGGTGATCTGAGACTGTCCCGAAGGTATTGCCTCCATCCCCCCCCCCCCATTTATCTGATAAACCTCCCTTAGTGGCCTGCAAATGGAGGCAGGCTTCTCCTGTAAGTTTACCGGAGGCTGGGATGTGAGGGTGGTACTGCCATCCTGCTCCCTCGGGCCACCAGAACCCAAACAAGTGGGATGGCTGTGAAGATTGACCCTTGGGATAAATCCAGGTTTACTCTAGGTTAAACCTGATTAGCCTTGGGTGTTATTTGGATGCCTCAGGCTAATCCGAGGGGGGGGGGGGATTTTAGGCCTATGTAGTAGGGCCCTCAGTGACTGGTAAGTCAGCACTCATGTAAATTCTATTGATTTTGTGTATATATTCTAGTAGGGACCAGCAACTGGATTTGTCCCTTTGTTTCATCAAAATAAGTTTGGAGAAAACCCAGCATTATGCAAAATAAATTAAAGCCCCAAATTTTCTTTGCCTTGCAAGTTCTATTGCTTTGTTTAAAATTGTGTGTTGTTACTGCCAAGGAGTCTGAAGACTATAATTCATACTTACATATGGTCTGTTTGGATCGCACTATTCCAGCTAGACCATTACAATCCTTTAAGCCTTCTCTATTCTAATCTGTTCTAGCTTTGCTTATCTAATACCGATGAGATGCTTTGCTTATCTTGTGTTGCTCTTCAAATTTTTGAGTTCTCTCAGGATTTAATTTAGAGTCGCATGATGCAGCAATTGCATTTGAAACTGAACAGATCTGGGTCTGATCAGTGGATGAAGTGTAAAACTATTGTGTTGAGTCAACTTATTGAAACAGGCAGCATTAACCAATTGTTGGAGCTCTATGTTTTATGCTCCTTGCCAACCAGTTGATCAACACAACTTGTGTTTAACAACCATTCTGTAGAATCACACTTAGGTTGTGTCTAAACTGTACATAGTTGGGCACCACTATCATGGTTCAAAGCTATGAAATTCTGAAATTTGTAGTGTGGTAAGGAACTCCTTGGCAGAGAAGGCCAAAGGCGTTTAAAACTACAACTTCCATGATTCTATGGCATTGTTTAAGTAGTGTCAAACTGCATCATTTCTATAGTGTAGATGCATTTCTACAAAACCATCAACTCTATGCACAATAGAACAATCAACTGAAATTCTTCAGAAAAAGAAACCTATGAGGTGCATGTGATTGCATCTGATGAAGTAAACACAGTCTGTTTGTTTTCATGTCAGGAGTGACTTGAGAAACTGCAAGTTGCTTCTGGTGTGAGAGAATTGGCCACCTGCAAGGACGTTGCCGAGGGGACGCCTGGATGTTTTGATGTTTTACCATCCTTATGGGAGGCTCCTCTTATGTGGAGCTGGAGCTGACAGGGAGCTCATCTGCACTCTCCCCGGATTTGAATCTCCAACCTGTTGGTCTTCAGTCCTGCCAGCACAAGGGTTTAACCCATGGCGCCACCAGGGGCTCCTAAGCACAGTCTAACAATAGCTTCGGCTACAAGTTCTTTTGGTTAATATCAAAGATGCTACAATACCAATTTTTTATGCCTTGCAGTATGTGGCGGGACAATAAGCCTTTCCAGCCAAATACTGCAAGGCAGAGGAAACAATGAGCAATTTTAGCAATGTGCTTCCTACTGAGAGAATGTTTTTAAAAACAATGTAGACTTTGAGGCCTACTCTCAACTCTTGACTTGTTCAGCACAAAATTCACATGCAAATATTTTGCATAGAAAACAGATTTTTTAAAAATCCAGGCAACAGTATTTTGTGCACATTTTCTACTAAAAGATCACCCAATATTTCCCAGGTGCAATGGTTTCACCATGGTTTGGATATTTTATGCCTGGGAAAAGCCTTTTATAAAATGAAAGCTAAGTTGGCAGATATTTTAGTATGTTTTTAAACACTGAGTTTTGGGGGTACACTGGGGGTCTTAAAAATGGCTGCGTGGGATTCATGTGGCACATGATCCACACTTTCTCTACCCTGACACATGTCAGAACTATTAAAATTAACTAGGTATTTTTAATTACAAAAATGTGAGTCAATTACTGAAAGGATTAAATGAATGCAATGACTCAGCAACAGCAGCAGTTCAATATAAGTAGGTGTGCCTGTAGCTTAGTACACCTCACTGTTCGTTGCCCTCAGTATGAAGAGGCTTCTGTCTGAGAAAGGCCTCAGTGCAAGGTAAACCTCAGTGTTAGTAGGCCTGGTGCGAGAAGCTTCGGTGAGAGAAGCCCTAGGTTGAAGGTCATCTTGTGTGAAGGCTGCTGTGTATAAAAAGCTACTGTGTGAAGCTCCTGTGTACCTTCGGTGTGAGAAGAGGCTCTGTGAGAGCGAAGCTGTTTATCTGCATGAAAAAGAAGCCCAGTGTGGAAGCAAATAAGGAAGTATAAAGAACTTTGTTTGTGTTATGGAAACTTTGTTCTCGTAAAATGTGCAACCATATTATTTTACTATAAAGAAAAGGCTCCCATGGAAGAGATAACATTGGTCTGTGTGTTTTTGTTGTTTATCACTTTTGGCTACTAGTGCTGGATCATGCTGCTGCTAATAAGTTACTCTGCTGTACATTTATGAGGGTCTTTTGATAATAAGCCCACTCGCCCAACCACATATAACCACATACAGGCAGCATACTACAGTCCCAGGATGGAATTGCCTCTACAATTGTAGAAAAAGATAAACCAAATATGTCATTTCAAAGACCACTTACATAGGCCAATTGCATAATGGACTCCACATTCATTGGTAGGACTTTTGTTCTGCACTGCTCACTCCCAGCATCTGATATGGTATCCCAGTTTATTAACATTTTAGTAAAATGTTGGTTATGCAACTACTTACATTGCTCCATAATTTACAAATGTGTGCTGAATTTGTAACATTTAGTTTGAAACAGAGCAGCATAGATGAGTAGTTAAAATTTCTACCTTCAATGGAAGCCAGCTTTCATTTATCAGTGTTTACTTAGCACAATATGTAATGCATAGTATTTTTAATGGGAAAGGATAATGGAGTGCCCAAAGGAAATTTGTTTTTCATCCTTTCAACAAAGCATATGCTTAGCTGCTGTTCTCTAACACAGATTTTCCATTCTTTCACAATCATTTTAGCTAAGAAGCATAGATATATATTGGACAAGGTTTTAAATATTCTGTGTTTGTTGTCTTCTGTGCAAGCATATATATATTCACCTGCATAGATAAACTTAATTACTGCACAGAATGCAACATGAAAAATTATGTGGGTGGTTGGAAACAAAAAGAGAACAAATTGGTAAAGAGAATGTAGTCTTGATAATGCTCTTTCTTCTCCCTTGTTCTCCACTTTCCAGGCATCTGATGAGCATTGCAGTGCTGCATTGGAGTCACCATGGCAAGATGTTCAACAAGAATTAAAAATTGTTGAATCTGAAGAGGAGTTGCCATTCACTGCAACTGCTCCTGAAAAAGTCAAACTACAGGAATCCAAATCTAGTCTTATAATTATTTCACCCTCAGAAGCAAACAGTGTTTCAGTGCTGCCTCTCACACCACTGAAAGAGAAAAGCATAGTTGGAACAACATCAACCATATCTCACTTTCCTTTGTTTGGAATTTCCTCCAAAGGATCAAAGGACTCAATGGTTTGTAATCCTGAACTGTTCAAAAAGCAGGGCAGTGCTTCTTCTATCTTACCAAAACTGGAAAATCCACCTTGTCCAAAGGATTGTATGAAAGATGAGGATGCCAAGAGTGACTTTTCACTTCTACCCCAAGAACAGAAGCTTCCAACAAAACCACTAGAAAGGCCAACTCTTTTGAGAGATGAACTATCTTCCCATCCCAAAGAAAAGGATTTGGATGACACAGAGTGGAAAAGTATCAGATGGATGCTTCAAAAGAAGAAGCAAGGAACAGCTGTGACCAAGGCGGAAGAAAGTGATAAAGAATTCTCAAAGAGAGGAGATCTGGCCAATTCAAAGATCTTAACTGGAGTTGGATCTCATCAGCTGAAGGAGAGCAGACTAAGTGATCAAACCCAGGATCCTCTTGATCAACAGGATGATGATTCATGTGTAAATCATGTCCAGAACTTAGAGCTGGTGGAACCATGGGAAGAACACCAGTGGGTTACAAGTCCTCTTCATTCCCCTACCTTTAAGGGCACTCAAGAAAAGGCTCTTCCAGAGTTTGAACCACAGAGTCAACGAACGGCCCAGAGCCACTTCAAGAAGCCATTTTTCAGTCGTAGCTTTTCCTTAGACAGTAAAGACTTTGTGAAGAGACACTGGGGTACCCCAGTGCCTTTTATAAGTGCCAATGAGGAGCATTTGTGTAGTAACAATCAATCAGGGATGAAGGAACCTTCAGAGATACAGGAGAGAGAAGCTGGCAGAGTAGAAGCTTGGCTGAATCTTTCAGATGGGTCTTCTAAACTGGTTGAGAGAATCCAGAAACCTCTGTGCCGGGAAACTGATTTTGCAGCCACTAAATCGCCATTCTCCCAATTCATTGGTTACCACGAATCAGGTAAGAAGGAAATGCATGAGGATAGAGAAAACCAAGATCTCATGAATCATATGGAGCCCTCCTTTTCTCAATTTAGTGCCGGGGATAGTTTATTTAATTCAAGTGGGCCATTGAAAGACACAACCTTTGTTCAACAGGCTGATATCTCTGCAACTGCTGCAACGAAGGACAGTGTTGAAGAGCCACAGGGCAGTAAAAATGAAGACATCCCACGGCGAGAGAGACCAAGGCCCTCTTCCCTGAACCTGGATTCTGTCCTTCCAGCTGCTAGCTTTTTTAACTTCGAGAGTCTTTCTGTACCCACCCCTCCCAGACATTTCCTCTGCGGGCAAAAGGAAGTTAAGACTAGTGATTCTGTGCCATCACTTCCCGTTGCCTGCCCAAGCAAGAGTAAAACTGACCTTTGGGGTTCTCATTTTGATCCCCAAGAACTTGATTACATAATGATGGCTCATGCGACCACTGGCCGCCGTAACTCTGCTCCCGTGAGTGTCTCCGCAGTGAGAACCTCTTTCATGGTTAAGATGTGCCAGGCTCGAGCTGTGCCAGTTATTCCACCTAAGATCCAGTATACCCAGGTCCCCCTGCCCCTGCAAACACAGAACTCCAATTGTAGGACCCAGTTGACACCTGAGGATGAAGAAGTAGAAGCCAGTGTAAGCCAATGCAAGTCAAATCAAAATGCTCAGAGCCAGCTGCAGTCTCCAAAGAGCCCATCTGTAGATAGGAAGGGGAAGGAAAACAATACTGCGACCTTTGTGGACTCATCAGCAACCAGAAAGGTAGAATCATCCTTCTCCAATCATAGTTCCACACAGGATGCACCAATCCTCCGTCGAAAGCGTACCTCTGAAGGAGAGACTACAGGAGATAATCCACAGTCCTCAAAAATGGAGAGACCTTCAGGAGTTTCCAAGCCATCCTACAGATCAAGGCCAGGAAGACCTCAGAGTCTTATCCTGTTTAGCCCACCGTTCCCCATCATGGACCATCCCTCTTCTTCTGCAGATTCTAGAGTGTTGCTTTCACCCATAAGAAGTCCCTCACAGAGCCCTTCTACAAGCCCCATTTCTAGTGATCTGTCTGGGACAGTCACAGAGGGGGTTATGCTTCGGAACAAAATGACAATTCCCAAGAATGGTCAAAGACTAGAGACTTCCACAAGTTGTTTTTACCAACCTCAGAGAAGGTCTGTGATTCTGGATGGGAGAAGTGGAAGGCAGATTGAATAATACCTATTGATTCCCTTCCCTTCTCTTCCCTGGCGGATGAGACTGAGGTGGGGGTGTCACTGTGGGAACCATAATAATGTTATTGTTAAACATGTATTATTCTGAAATACCTACTTCTCAATTCCAATAGTATTTTACTCTGTAGATTGTCAGTAATAATAGATAGGAATGCATCTATTTGGGTTTGGTGCCCACCTTGACAAAAGTGTGCAAGTGAAATGCCAAGAGAAAACCGAAAATCAATCCTGCTTACGTTGACCAAAGTTACTCTCCTCCAGAGTCTCATTCTTCATAGTTGACAATCATCTCAGCAACTTATATTGGATGCTGTTCTGTTTCTTTCCACATTCCATAGCCTTCCTGTTGATTTCTCAATGTCCCATTCTCTGGTATTCCAGTTCACGACCGTATCAGAAGCTTGTAGGTTTTGACTTCCCCTTGTTATGCAGAGACTTATGAAACCCAATATAATGTGCCAGACAGATTGGGGTAGCATAAGAGAAATGTTGGTGCAATTGAACTATAGCCTATTTTGATGTTTGGTCTTGCCAATAAGCATCTTTTTTGTTGTATTCCCTTAGCATCTGTTTCTCCATTTTGAATAATATAGTGCTAACTACTAAGCTTGTATATTAATTGCTATTGGGATCTGCACAGATAGCCATGTAAACTACCTATACTTTCAGAGGTTGACAGCATTAGAAATGCTGCAGCAGGACTGTACCCGCCGGTCCTATTAATTTTTTCCCAAATCCACTGTTTGAATCATTTTTCTTTCTGCAGTATCAAGCCCAGGTTTGGTAGCAGCTGCAAGGATTGATGGACAGAGCAGTCACAATAAGCTGCAAATAACCACATTAGCTATATATATATATTAATGTATGTGGTGTTTTTATTGAAAGTCATTATAGCAGGATTTCTCTCTGTCTCAAGCAGTGTGGTTGTTGTTTGTTCAGAAACTGTTTATTTTTAAAACTACCCTTTAGCTTGCAGCATAACAAAGGTAAATGACAAGAAATGAATGTAAGCACTGATTTGTAAAGATGTTCCTGTACCAACTCACATATGAGTCAGAGAATTGAAATTGGGAGCTTGATACCTTCCATGAGCTGACTGAATTAAAATGCTACATACCATCTCCTAGACTACAGTTTAAATGCTCAACTCACAATGTTATAGTCCTGAGCCATATTTTCCCAGATGAAGCAGAAATGGATTTGACTGTGTGTATACACACACACACAAATGTAGATAAGCCATGTTGTTAGGGGCATGTGAGTGCACTTTGGTGCCTTCTGCTGTTTGCAAAGGCACCTTGATTTTATGTTAATAAGAATGTGGAATATTTCTCTGATTTCAGAGAAACTCAGATGAACATAATATGAGGGACATGGTGGCATTTTCTACAGTAGTGTACAAGTTGAGTTTCTCCACTTTTTGTGCATAGATCAAGAACTTCTGTGATTTTTTTTTACCTCCAGGTTTAGCCAGGGCATGTTTATAAGATGAAAAAAAAAGGATGAAGAAGGACAATAATTGTTTTCTTCTTACTATTTTTTCAGTAGTTGACAAGGGGCATGGTGGAATTCTCTTTCCAACAGAAGTATGGGTAGCTGGAAGCAGGCTATCTTAAGGAACAGGGGTGGTATGGAGCAGGCTATCATAAGGGACAGGGGTTTGTGTAAAAATATCAAAGCTTGGACGTTTGTCATGCTGGATTAAGCTCCCAAGATCCCCCAGCCAGCATGTTCCCAGGTATTGTAGTCCAAAGAAATAGCTTTCCCAAGCTCTGAGCATTTCATGGTTACACCACTTGTTGGAACCAGTGGGACAGCCACCCATCTCAATGGGAAAGTTGGTAAGCATGAGCGAAAGAGATTGTGTGTTTCTGGAAATAAAACTTTGGACTTGCTAAGAACCTAGAGCAGTGGTTCTCAACCTGTGGGTCCCCAGATGTTTTGGTCTACCACTCCCAGAAATCCTAGCCAGTTTACCAGCTGTTAGGATTCCTGGAAGTTGAAGATCAAAACATCTGGGGGCCCACAGATTGAGAACCACTGGCCTGGAGGGTAGAGTATGTTATGAAGAGCAGAGACTTTTCTGATCACATCTCACTATGGTAAGGTTCTGAATACATTCCATCTGTAGCGTGAAGAAGTGGCAGTGTATAAGCAAATACCACTGACTGCTGTTCTTTTTAAAAAAATTCTGCAGTACAAAACTTATAATTAGCTTTTCTTCTCTTCAGAGTTCTAAAACATGTGTGCTGATAAATGTTACGTTAAGTTGATATATCACAGAACATGTATAAATATATTAAAGTGTAATTAAAACTAAGCAGCAGTACATTTGTGAACCTTGAATGTGTCCAATGTCCAGAAATGGTTGCTTGCTATAATTCCCTAAAACATACACAGAGGATAACCAACAGAATTATAAATCTTTTGATCCCATCTGTTATGAAGTCTCTCTTGGTTCCATCTCCCTAACTATCCTTAATATCTGATTTTGATTTGGAAGCCAACAAAATGCATGTCCTGTTCGAAGCCATTTGAGAGGAGAGACATCAGTTAACTTTAGGAATAGTTGGGTCATGAAAGCAGAACTGCAGGTTTTTGTATGTGCACAACAGAGACAAATACACGTACACTATCCGGCCTCGCCCTACAGCTGTAGCACTGGTTTTGCTGCCTGTCAAGTTTCATTATTGGGAATGTATATACGCAGATGACCACACCTGGGATAGAGAAGCATTGTAGCATTTTTAAAGAGATGATTAAGATTTTTTTTCTTAAAACTCTGTACCAGCTTTCCTAAATGCAGTGTCCTCCAGATGCACTGTCCTGCCTCTCCTCTCACCCTCTGTGGGAACGTAAGAAGCTGCATTATCTCACATTAAACTGTTGTTTTCACATCCAGCCTTGTCAGCTTGGATTGGTAGTGTTTCTCCAAAGTCTTGGGCAGAGATCTTCCACATTACCTCCTACATGAATCTTTTTTTTTTTTTTTAATGGTATATATGTCTATCTGAGAAATATTAGATTAGATTGGATGAGAGTAAGGGAGGGAATGGGAGAGAGAAATAATCCATCAGAGTGTGGACTAGGCCATGCGTGAATGTTATGTTTCCCTTGATAGATCCTTATAGGTATTGTTTTTATGGAGTGCCGCTATTGCTGTAGGCTATCACCTTTAGTGCTTTCATTGCTTGGCAAGTCTCAACCACGAGATTAAACTGGACTTTATAAAAATGTACATGTGTCTTAGTGGTATTTGGAGACATCTCTATTGGGTGGGATCTTGATTGGCACAAGGGAATACAAAGGATTACTACTTTTCTTCATTTTGGTGTTCTTTACTTGTGATACTTGGAGTTTATATTTATTTATTTATTATTTATTTATTTATTTACTTCATTTGTTGACCGCCGCTCTCAGCCCTGGGGCGACTCGCGGCGGTGTACAACATGTAAAAACAGTCTACAAAAACATACAATATAACAACAACCGAATTACACATTAATCTAAATCACACTAATAGATCCGCGCCATCACAACATAGAATCATAGCCAATCTCATAATCCATAGTCCGTTCCAAATGTCATTACCAGATTCGTGTGGGTCTCAATTAAATGCCTTCTCGAATAGCCAGGTCTTTAAGCTCTTACGAAAGGCCATAAGGGAGGGCGCCTGTCTGATGTCAACAGGGAGGGTGTTCCACAGCCGGGGGGCCACCACTGAGAAGGCCCTCTCTCTCGTCCCCGCCAGACGTGCCTGTGAGGCGGGCGGGATCGAGAGAAGGGCCTCCCCGGATGATCTCAAGGCCCTTGTGGGCTCATAGGCCGAGATGCGGTCCGAAAGGTATTTTGGGCCGGAACCGTTTAGGGCTTTGTAGGATAACACCAGCACCTTAAATTGGGCCCGGTAGCAGATCGGCAGCCAGTGGAGCTGGGACAACAAGGGCGTTGTGTGCTCCCTGCGTCCCGCTCCGTTAGTAACATGGCTGCCGCGCGCTGGACTAGCTGAAGCTTCCGGGCCGTCTTCAAGGGCAGCCCCACGTAGAGAGCGTTGCAGTAGTCAAGACGGGATGTGACCAGAGCGTGTACCACCGTGGCCAAGTCAGACTTCCCAAGATACGGGCGCAGCTGGCGCACGAGCCGAAGCTGTGCAAATGCTCCCCTGGTCACCCCTGAAACCTGGGGATCCAGGCTCAAAGATGAATCCAGGGTCACACCCAAGCTGCGAACCTGCGCCTTCAAGGGGAGTGCGACCCCGTCCAGCACAGGCTGTAACCCTATCCCCTGTTCGGCCTTGCGACTGACCAGGAGTACCTCTGTCTTGTCTGGATTTAATTTCAGTTTGTTCGCCCTCATCCAGACCATTACAGCGGCCAGGCACCGGTTCAGGACCTCGACAGCCCCCTTAGTAGCAGGTGGAAAGGAGTGACAGAGTTGGACATCATCTGCGTACAGATGACACCGCACCCCGAAACTCCGGATGATCTCACCCAGCGGCTTCATGTAGATATTAAACAGCATGGGGGACAGTATAGAACCCTGTGGAACCCCACAGGTCAAAGGCTGTGGTGTTGAACAGCAGTCCCCCAATAACACCTTCTGGGTACGACCCTCCAGAAATGACTGGAGCCACTGCAGAGCAGTGCCCCCAAGACCCATTTCCGCAAGGCGCCCCAGAAGGATACCGTGGTCGACGGTATCGAAGGCCGCTGAGAGGTCCAGGAGCACCAACAGGGACACACTCCCCCTGTCTAGCTCCCGGCGCAGATCATCCACTAAGGCGACCAAGACCGTCTCGGTTCCATGTCCCGGTCTGAAACCAGACTGTGCCGGATCCAGAATATCCGTGTCTCTCAAGAATACCTGGAGTTGTGAGGCCACCACGCTTTCCATGACTTTGCCCAAAAAGGGGAGATTGGAAACAGGCCGAAAGTTGTCAAATTTAGTGGGGTCCAATGATGGTTTCTTCAACAGCGGTTTTATAATAGCTTGTTTTAAGCTCGCTGGAATCTTGCCTTCCCGAAGGGAGGCATTAACCACCACCGTTACCCACTCAGCCCATCCCCCTCTGGCCTCTTTCAGAAGCCAGGATGGGCAGGGGTCTAGGATGGACGTGGTAGGCCTCATTCCTCCAAGTATCTTGTCCACATCCTCGGGTTTCACAAACTGAAAAGAATCCATCAAAATAGGACAAGCAGGTGCTTGTGTCACATCCACAGAGACTGCATTTAACATGGTGTCCAGCTCAGAACGGATCAAAGCGACTTTGTCTGCAAAGAACCGAGCAAATGCTTCACAGCGCGTGACCGAATTGTCAGGGCTCCCGCCTGAAGTGGCGGGAGTTAAAAGACCTCTGACAATCCGAAACAACTCCGCCGGACGGTTCTTTGCAGACGCAATAGAGGCTGCAAAGAAAGTTTTCTTTGCGGCCTTTATTGCCGCGGCGTATGCCCTTAGGAAGGACACAAACCGTGCTCGATTTGACTCGCTTGAGTCCGAACGCCACACGCTCTCTAGTTCCCTCTTCCTTCGCTTCATCACTGCCAGCTCCTCAGTAAACCAAGGAGCTGGTTTAGCTCGGCTACTTGAGAGGGGACGTTCCGGAGCGATCATGTCAATTGCCCTGGTCATCTCCCCATTCCAGAGAGCGACCAAGGCCTCGACATGGTCACCTACCGCGGAGGCGGGAAAATCCCCAAGAGCCGTCAGGAATCCATTCGGATCCATAAGCCTCCTGGGGCGGACCATCTTAATGGGTCCTCCACCCTTGCAGAGGTTAGGGGGTGCAGTGAGCCTAAATCTGATCAGGAAGTGGTCGGTCCATGGCAACGGAGAGATAGACAACTCCTCCACACCGCCACCCTGCTCCCATCCCTGGCAGAAAACCAAGTCCAATGTGTGTCCAGCACAGTGGGTGGGGCCAGATATTTGTTGGGACAGCCCCATGGTTGCCATGGCAGACATGAAGTCCTGAGCCGCTCCTGAGAGGGTCGCCTCGGCATGGATATTGAAGTCTCCCAGCACAGAAGCCGTTGAGACTCCAACGCCAGGCTCGAGACTACCCCCGCTAGCTCAGGTAGGGAGACTGTAGTGCAGCGAGGTGGACGGTACACTAGCAGAATCCCTATTCTGTCCCGGTCACCCACCCTTAGGTGGACACATTCAAAATTTGTGGTCTGCGGGATGGGGCTCCTGGTCAGATGGATGGAATCTCTATAGACCACTGCAACCCCGCCTCCCCGTCCTCCGGATCTCGGTTGGTGCTGTACGGAGAAGCCTGGAGGACAAAGCTGGGTCAGATTCACCCCCCCAGCTTCATCCAACCAGGTCTCCGTAATGCACGCCAGATCTGCCCGCTCGTCCAGGATTAAATCCTGGATAAAGGTCGTTTTTCCGTTGACAGATCTGGCGTTCAGCAGCACCACCTTCAATCCAGAGGGCCCGCTCACCTGGTTACACCAATTTACCTTAGGAGACCGATTTGGGATTACTAATTTTGATAAACGGTCCGAATTAAGCCGAATTCGAGGTCTCCTTTTTCCACATCTCCTCCTTCCCACCACGACCTCTATGGGGGCCCCTCGGCTAGTGGAACACCTCCCCCCCTCCATGCCGCAGTCCCTAACCAGGGTCTTAATATCTGTTTCATTAGATGTTTGGTTTGTTGGTCCCTGCCAACTCCCTTGCTTCCCCTCCTCCCCCCTCCCCGCCTCATTATTGTTCACAGGCTCCAGCCCACTTCCTCCTCCGTCCCTTCCACTGATCACTAAAAGCAGGAGCAGCACAAATAGGGGGATGGGGGACCACATGGATAATAATAATCCCGATGATGTTAAGTGGTTCAGCCACAACAATTAACAGTTAGAGATTAGTAAAGTGCAGAGTCTTAAAGTGCAACACAGTCGATAGTATATCTGCGTGCCGTTGGGCAAATTCATAAAGTGCAAGGATCATAAAGTGCAACAATACCCAAAACTGGCTCCCAACGCTAACTAAAGTGCGGCATAGAGGGCAGCGGCCTCGGCGGGGGGGCGCTGAGAGACGGGGCCTAGCAGGCCCAATGAAGAGCCGTGGGGCCTCGCTCCTTCTCTTCTCCTCCTGGTTGGCGATGGAGAGCCGCGGGGCTTTGCTTCCTTCTCCCTCTGGTCGGCGGGGGGGGAGGCGCTCAGCGGTGAGGCCTAGCAATCCCGGTGAAGCGCCAGCAGCCTCTTGCCTCTTCTCTCCCTCCTCCGGGACGGCAGGAGGGAGGCACGCCCGGTGGGGCCTAGCGGCTCCACAGCAGTGGCGGCGGTGCTGGCGGCGACCTCGGTGATGGCGTGG